CCTTTCCCTTCACTTCCCTTAATTTCCTTAAGCTTTTCTTTCAGGAAAAAGAAGAATGTGTCTCTTGTGTAAGCTCCTGGGATATAAACCTCTGCCTAAACAATAACAGGAAAAAAATACCAGACAGAAGAAGGCAGCTGTACATCTCTCCAATTTAAGGTGTGCTGCTACATGCTTCTGTGGCTTTTATTTTTGCCCAAATTTCTTCACATTCCTTCTGCTGCAGGGGCAGCTGCCATTTAAGCTTCTCGTCCAGAGTAAAGACTTACCTTGCCTACAAAACTCTACATATTCCTAATAAATATTAATGAAATGAAGGAGACCACAATGAGTAGGGATAGTGGTTTGTGTCACTGAATTCTAACTGCTGACCTGTAAGGCACAACCTGAACTTCAGTCTGATTTCTCCAAAGCCTCTTCCAGTCTAGGTAGGTTGAATCAGGATCTTCCATAAAGATCCCAATAGTTTCTGTTCCCCGAGGTATTTAACAAAAACTCTCCCACACAAATCCGCATAGATTTTTACAAGGTGCAGATTTTAAAAGCAAAGTGGTGCTACAGCACACAGATGTACAGGGGCTGTCTCACAGAATGGTCCTTGGAAAACGCTTGGCACCAGTTCGGATTCACCTACTACGCTGCCTTCATGCTTTGAAGCCAAATAGCAGAACAAGGCCAGAGATCAGACCAAAACATCCCCAACATCAAGGGAAACCAAAGAATCAGTTAAATGTGAACATCAAGAAAAGAAGGGGAAAAAAGACATGAAAAAAACTTTGTTGTAACTCTTGATGGCTGCTTTCTCTCTGCTGTTGCGGGAGCAGAATCTCTGGAAATGTGATGCTGCAAAAATATAAAGGACAGAATTTGTAGGGGAAAGTAATATCTTTTATTAGCTTGTCTGACACAGCCAGGAAAAAAGAGTCAAGCCTTGGGCACACAAGCCCTTCTGGAAAACTTTGTCTTTTTCAATTACATTTATATTAACTCTACCTGCAAATCCTGCTTTGCTTTAGCTACCACGCACTTCTTTTTATGTTATCAACCTCTGGATTTCATTTTTTTCTTCATCTCCGTCCTTGCTCTTGCTGATATATATTGTACTGCTGGGCCTGAAAGATAACTACAGTTTCTGTGTTGCGCACTCATTGCCTTTTCTTACTTTTTGGCACTGTTTTGGTTTGCCTGAAATGGTGAAGCAAAGAAAAAGCATCAAGGACAAAGCCTCACTCACGTCTCCAGGCCTTTGCTTTAACTGCTTGGAACTATTTTCTCCCTTTTAGGCCTAACCCTGAAAGACAACCACAGTGTCAGAATCAGAGGAGTACCACATCAAGTTATACACATTATCCGGTCTAAACCCAAGTCTTACATGCAGTTTCACAAATAACTCTTTAATTTTACTATTGTGAATGTGCCAGAGCCCTAACAATTTCTCAACAGAGGCAAGAGGTTAGGTCACATTTTTCTCCTGCTATAGATGGGATTACTTTGCTCTGTTCTCTAAGGTCTTAAGACCTTGAAGAGCCAAACTTCTTTCAGGAATTATCTGATTTTATTTATCAAAACAAAATAACACACTGATTGAAAATGTTTCTCTTTTTTTTTCAGTTGAAATGAAAACTGAAAATGTTTAGTTAATGTATTTGCCTTAAAAAAAAAACCTAGGAAAATGACACAAATGCTTAAGTGTCACTTTGCTCCAAAACAAAAGCACTGAATTATGATTTTTTCTTCATTTATTCCGTATCTGAAACAATTGCAATTTCACACAAATTTACGCATTGTTTCCATCAAATCAAAAGCGTATTTTTTTGAGAGGAAAAAAAATAAAAAAGGAACAAAACATATGCAGTATTTCACCCAAGTAATGATTTCTCTCCAGTGGTGAGCTGCCAAAGACTGCTAGGCTAGAGCCAAAAAGATGTTACAACACTGGAGTGCTTCTATAATCACAAAGGGCTTGAGGGAAGAGTGTTGATGACAGAAAAATCTTATTTTCCGTGTCCAAAAATGTAGGAGTATCTATTTTTTCTTCCATAATATTTGTTACAAAAAATTGCCATTGCCTTTACACTTTGTCAGAAACCACACTCCTTCCTGGCATTCTCTTTGTGAGCAATGCAAATGGTGTTTGCAAGGCTACAGTCAGAGCTGGAGTGTGGCAGCTATTTTTAGAATGCAAACTCTCATGGATTTTAAATGGGCCTTTGCATACGGAAAGTGAAAAAAAAATGCTAAGTATTTCAGGAAAAAAAAGAGACTCAGAGACAGCTACAGAACAGAGGGGACAGGCTGGTGCTTTTATTTTTGCCACTGGCAGCCTCCAGCTCCTGGGTTGAGGACACTGCACATTTCCTACCAGGCCTCTGCTGGGCCTACAAGCATGTCCTACCATGGAACAACACCACAATGGGAGCTTCTATGGTCCTTAAGTTTCCTCAAACTSTTGGTTCATTACAGTCCTGTATATATCTATTCTAGTCTTGTATGTATATACTACAGTGGATATGGATATTCATTGGATATGGATAGATGGATATGGCTTCATGGAAACTCAATCTTGTCAAACTAACCTGATGAGATTACAGGTCACTCTTGGATGGGATTACAGCTTTGATTAATAAAGTTCAGTTGAACAGATGTAACACACCTAGACTCCTGAAGGGCTTTTCTAACTTACTAAGACTGGTCATTCTGATTGTAAAAGCAGCAATATACAACTTCAGTAAACTATAACATCCACTGATTCMGAACTTGCTATAGACATCTTAAGCATTTGTGAACAGGGTAACCTCACAAGCAGAAGGGTTTCTAGCAGGGGTCTACGGGGATGGATAGTAGCCTCAAAACAATTCAACATTTCTAACCAAATCCTGGAAATTAATGTGAAAAGAATAAAAAAAAAATCCGGGTGATTCAAAAATTAGTGAATAGCAAGTAATGGGAACACAGGCCACTCAAAGCAATCTGGACCAGTCAGGAACTTCATAAAGCCAAATGCAGAGTTACTTGTCTAAGAAAAAAGCACATGGAATGGAAAGCTCTTTGAGGGCTTGTTGTGTCAGTCACAAAATCTGGGGCCAAATAAACAGAGCAACAGTGAGTGGGAACAAAGAAACTATTCACTTCCAGTCAGGCAGACAAGTACATTTTACATGTACTGCCAGTGTCCACATTTTAAAGAGATGAGGAGAGAGGAGAAGAGACTTATAAAGAACAATTCAACTCATTTGGGGAGGTTTAAACAGCTCTGTTTGCTTAGTTAATCTAAGGATGGAAATGAAGTCAGCTTTCACTATGAAAGTACCTTTGTCTGAGAAGAGTAACTAGTACTCAATAACACTCCATTTAGTGGAGCAATGCATAAAAATCAACAGATAAGAGCTGATTTCCGATATTCAGATGGGGAACTAGGCACACATTTAATCAATGTGATTAACCAGGGGTATCAACTGTCAGGGAAAGCCATAGATCCACTGCTTCTCAGAGACTTCAGCTCAGGACTGAGGTATTAGGTTAGTTAAATGTAAGTTATTCTATAGTCAATGTTCAAGAGAAGTTATTGGACGCTATATAGATCACTGGATGAAAGCTGCAGGTCAGATTATAGACTTTAGTGATCATTTTTTGGTCTTTTATTTCTGAAACTATGGTTTCAGATGAGGTCCAAAGGATTCCTCTTGTCACATAGTGCTTCCATGCACTCATGAACCATTGATTTCTGTGTCTACTCTGCGTGAGTTCTGGGGACTCAAGATTTTTGGAGGCAATATTTGGGGTTTTCTCTGCCCTGGACAATATCGGTTACAAGATCTGCTGGTYGCAGTTCTGGACCAGTATGCGAAAGAACAACTCCACAGAATACAATAAGTAATAACAAAACATCAATAGCTAGGGAGAAGGAAGGTAAAATTACTCTCCTTTTGAAAACTACTATCCCCTTTTGCTCAGATTTTGAAACTGCACTGGCATTTTCTGACAGAAGTTTGATGCTTTTTCCTCTCCACACAGCCAGCAGCTTTGGGAGTATTTTCTCTCACTTACAGTCCAGCTAAGTTATCTACGCTTTTCTCTCATCTAAGGATTAGTTCAATGAGCTTTTCATGGTGCTGGCCTAAGCATTTCAAATTTTAGCTAGCAATGTTGGAACTCCCTAGTGTGTGTAGATGTATCAAAAAAGAAGCATGTTTCATACTTTTTATCTTTGCTAATTTCTAATTGCTTTTAATATTATTATTTGAGCTGCACTTTTGCCTGTGCTTAAAGTTAACAGGATGTGGGGTCAAGACACTCTGTTCTCCTCTGATACCACTCTCCGAATATCAGTGCTTCTTAGAGGTGGAAGTTCTGTGTTTAAATGGTCATGGAAGGGCATTTTATAACAAGGTTTTCTACTGGGTATAGTAGTCTGCTTCTTTCTCCCCACGAAGTGACTGGTAACCAGTTCAGATATTGCTGAAGTGGAGAAGTTCTTGCAGAGCCTTTACAGATTTTATTTGAAGAAAAATGAGGGGAGGTTTATGCTTTTCACTAAGCTAAGAGAGGCTTAAGAAATGGTTCAAGAGAAAAGCCGAAACAACTTTGTTACAAGTATGGACATAAATTTGAGTAGTTGCTTTAAGAAACCAGAAAGGAGCCCAAAAAGGAATGAGGTTTCTTCATCACTTAAGCTACATCACTTAAATTATAATGCAGATAATCAGGTATAGAAGTTTAAGTTTCAGATTACCATGACAAATCAACTGATAGTTAGGGATTTGGGATTGCAAATACACATATATCCTGAACACATCTTATTTGCCTAGGAATAACAAATCATATGGATGCGTATCAGCAGGTAATTTTCTGGTGGGCACAGTCATAGGAATTTTGGTTGAAAACAAATTCCAGCATTTGACTGTGAAGGCAAATTTTAGTAAAATGACTAGAATTTACAATAATCTATTACCCAGTGTTTATCACTGACTGAAAATATTATACAGCAGGGGATTATTTACCTGGAATGCTCTCCAATTTTCTACGAAGTTCCTCATTTTCTTGTTGCAATGAAATTACCTCCTGCTCTAGCTCTTGACATCGAGGACAGTAACCTTCTTCCTCTTCCTCCTCTTCCTCCTCTGGAAGTGTAGAAGATGACGGGTGACCATGAGATTCAGAGGTTGCTGGAGATGTCCATCCACCTAAAGTGTGCACTGGAGAGGTTGAAAGTGGATCCACATCTGCCAAATGGCTAAAATCATTTACTGATGAGGTGTTCTGCGAAGGGAAGCTCCCAGAGAGCAAATAGTTCTGAAGGGAATCAGTAAAAACTCTCAGAAAGGCTGAGGTTTGTTGTTTCTTTTGCATATACTGCATCTCTATGTCTAAAATGTCTGACGTCTGACTATGGACCATTTTTCCAAGCTGACATTGCTCTTGTCTTTCACTATAACTTGGATTTTCCTGCTTTATACAAGAAATCATGGACTGAGAGTGATTGTTGTCCAGTAGTTTTCCACCACAATTTAAGAGACTTAGAACACGGCTGCACTGCTGGGCAAAGGCATCCAGAATCATACGACTCTCTGAAACAAAAGAAGAGATGAATCACAGAAACCTAATGCAAAAGGCACAGGCAGCAGCAGCTACATGAATGTACACAACCGTTTACAGTAGCAGGCATTTTATTTTTGAACATATTAACATTATGGCTTCTGCTTTAATACTTCTGCAGCATCATTATTTAAAACAATCCTGACTTTGCTTCTATTTTGAGAGTGCCCTTGTGCCCTTGCTGTTAATCAGAAATGCATTGTGATGATCGTCACTGCTTAGTGCCACGTCCTTTCAGGAGTATTTAGACAGGAAAAAGGGGAAGAAAATACAAATTCCTTTCAATTTGCTATGAGCAGAAGTTCAAGTATTGCTTCTGAAGTCAGCTGCAAGCTGCTGGTGGGCATTGCCTGTGTGTGTTTGCAGGACATCTCGTCCCACTGCCTTCCTTGGTCCTGTTCCTTAACCTATCTCCAAAAATACTCCCAAGCTTTAGTTCTCTTCCCTTACATCTTTGCCCTGTGCTCGAGAGTGGGCCTGCACCACTCTACATCAACCCAATTTTGTGGACTTTGCCTCTCTGGCTCTTGCTCTAGCTTCTGGATATGCCCAGGTTTCACTGATTCAAGAAGAATTTATGCAGGACCTTCTTTTTGAACCAAGAAAAGGCACTGAATATACATCATGAAGCTCTTCTGATGAGAGGAACAATTTATCTGTGCTCTTGACTTCCTGTGGATTAGTGGACAGGCCAGTATTATACAGAGGTGTGCAGTGCAGAGTCCTCCAAGCTACTGCAAAATAATCAGGAATACGTGGCGCTGTGCAGGAGCTTCTGGAAGTAGCAGCTTGGTTCTGGAAGCACTATAAGCATGTGAGGTAGCACCTCGTCAGACCTGCCTTTAATGACAGCAGGTACCAAAGATCAGAGAACAACAGTAACTGTAGCTACAACTTAAATGCAAATAGCAGGACGGTTTAATTTTTGCAATGTCTATGGATATAGAGTCAAACTGACGTAATAGTCAACCTAGCATGTAAAATGACCCAAAATACCTCTAACCTGTGCTAAGACACATTAGGCTCTCCAACAATAACGCCTTCAAAAAACTTACTTACAACTTATTTATAGCTTAATTCCTCCAAGTATAAAAAGATGTAACTAATATTTTGCGTAAGATTAAAAAAGAAAAAGAGAAAAAAAAAAGACTGWTTTAAGTGCTGCCAATTTTGGAGAGCTCTTCTCAGGCAGGCTTGACTTTTAGAAAGTGACAAGCATCTTGACTCTTGAAAAGGCAACTAGCTACAGATGCATCCCAAACCTTCACCTCTCTTAGCTTGATTGCTGGAGATGAAAACATGGACACAGATAACATGTAAAGAACAGCTCCTTATGGGGTGGCACTTCTCATGGCTCTTCCCCGAAATCAAGGTGATAAGCCTTCTGCTTGAAAACAGGCTTCTTATTGAAATAAGAAGTGTAGCTAGCCCGAACAATATTTGGCGTTCTACTGTTTCATTTTTTTTACCATCTTCTAGCCATCTACTATGGCTAGAAAAGGCTGAAGCAGCATATAAATACTTAAGTCTTGAATGCAGCTAGGGGTTAATGTCCCTGACACAAAGCCTGAGGATGTGTGGGATCATCTGAGCACTCAAAGTAACCTCAAGCACGGAGCTAAGCTGGCAGCAGCAGTGGAGAGATGTGAAAAGAAGAAGCCAAGGGGTACAAAAAAAGCCCTATASAGACCAATATGGTCCAGCACAAGAGAGGTAATGTACAAGAAAAGGCTGGAACTCAGTGACATTGCAGCTTTCTGAACAGGACCTAAGGATAAGGAATAAAATGAAGAAAGGAGAGCATCACTGACAACCTCAAGTTGCACTTTCTTTGCCTTATTTCTTCCCACATTTTTCTTTTAAAAAATATTAAAGGATGATATTGATTGGAACTTTGCAATCCTACGCAGAGCAGTTTTTCATTCATTTTAATCCTATAATCCGATTCTAGACCTGAAGTCGTATTTACTGTTTGCATTTTAATCATTATGGTCCCTGTTGACAAAACAGTTACTCATTCTTTGCACATCCTTGTTGCAAGGGGACAAAATATGAATGGAAAAAACAGAAATCGGATCAGATTAGTATAAGAGATATTGTACTGATACTTTTTTTTTTCCTAAAATATGGCAAGAAGTAACCTGATGTTTCAAATGCCAGTTCTGAAGAATAATACAAGACACATCACCATCAGTAAAGATAAAATTAATGATTAATTTTGTTATAAAATGGAATGCATTAGGCACATTCACCATGATCATGGTTTAAAATATGACCAAAATTTTACACAGAAATGACATTATTGATTTAATCTTCAGTTCAATATCAGACCTACTACAAAGACACAATAGCAGCAATTACTGCTTTTTTTTCCTTAGTTTTAACCCATACTCAAAGATAAAGAGATGAAACTCGTGACCGAGCAGGATTTCCTTTGAAAAGCTAGCACAAAGATTCACAAAGGCTTTTTTTTTGTGGGTACTGCTGAGCAGCATCAGAGGGGGATGCTCTCAACGCTGGCTCTGGAAACATCTAGCTCTGTGCTAAGCACGTACAGCTTTGAAGTGACTTGTACAGCAGTGGCTGTATATGTATCCACAGCCTGAACTACCCTAAATGAGAATGATAACTGCAGTTATTCCTTGTGATGGAAAAAAAATAAAAACAAATGTTGCCCATTTAGCACATATTGTGGTAATCAGGAATGCAGCTTTTGCAGACTGACTGTAATTAGAAATGCAAGCACTGTGCAATGTCTAATCACTAAGAGATGGGGAAAAGTTGTTTTTATGTGAATACTACTGAATAACCACTGATCTATGATTCTTAATTGATTTAATGTAATGTATATATTTTCTAAGAATAGAAAATTCTATTGAAATGACTGTGATGGACTAAAATAGTGTAAACAGTTTATTAAAATCTTTTTGCGATACCCCTTTTCCTTGTTAGGATCATCACCAACCATGTAATTCTACAATGGGTCAGACCCTGCAGTCTTTAGTCTTACAGAACTTCTATTGACTTTAACTAGACTTTTGCCTGAAGGTGGACTTGCCAGATTAGGCCCATAAAGAGCTAATAGATCATGATTAAATTGCCCAAAGTATGAGCATTCCTAACTAGATTATTTCTCCTGAGAGTGCAAGCAACCTGGAGAAGATCACGTGGCAAATCAGGTACCTATTGCTGGATGTTGCATTCATCTTTCCAACTTTTTCTGGCCGATGCTGATCTATGTGGTTTCTCAGCTATTGAACCGCCAGGCTAAAAACAGGGTTTCAGTAAGAGCAAATGTCTAAAAAGCTACTAGACAAGTTATGCTGATGCATCAGAAAAACCATTTGAAAGGGTTGGTAGGATATAACATTAGCTTTTTCTACACCTGGGATTTCTTTTCAGCACCAAGACCAGACAGTCTTATTAATAAAGCACTCTGCTGGGTCTCAATGGATCTGGATTCAGGTCTCGGATTTTCTGTAGTTTCCATTGTGAACATGGGCAGATGTTATAAAAAAAAAATCTTGAAAACTTCTGAGAGAGTCTGAATCTAAAGCATTCTCTCCTGAGGCAAATATATTCGTTTGTATTTAATTTTCTACAAGAAGTGAAGGTCCGTGTTCCTTGGCAATTTCAATAATGTCACTCCACACATTGCAATGTTTCAGTTCTCTCACAGACATATTTTTATTTCTTCATTTGTTTGATTGTTATTATCTTCTTATTGTTACTGCTGCTTTAGATCCTGAGGTATCTCTGTACCCCCCGAATGGCTTTTTCCATGTATACAAAGTTTTAGGACAATGCTGCAATGAATCTATGCCCAAGTCACAAAATTGAGACCATTTGACACCTTCAACCGTGATTTTAAGGGATGATTTCTGGGACATTTTGCATGAGGTACCATGATGCACCAGATAAACCAGCAGATGAAGATACCAAACAGCTATTTCAGTAATGGTTTTGTGAGTCTGCTTCCACATGGGGGCTTCCACCTTCTTGATTAAGGCCAAAATGATGATCCTKCCCTATCTCCAACCACTTAAAACCTTACTCCTTTTGGAAATGACAGCCCTTGCTTAATTAGCCTTGTCAGACCAGGTTCTGGGCACTACAGTGCAGTCTCCTGTAAGGCAGCTCTGCTCTTTTGTCTCCACTTTCCAAGAAACCCTTCTTAAGTTTCAAAACACACTGTAAAGTCTACATATTCCATCATGCTTGCCAGACTAGGAGGAGCTCCTTTTGGACTATGATACTCTTTAATGTAAGTAYAGACAAAGTCTATAATATGCATTGTTTTCACATTGGGAGAACAATCTCAATAAGCAAATAAATGATTAATATTCTCAATGAGAAAATAAGTATCTTCTGATTCCGGGTATGTACCMATCACTCTGCAACAACAGCGGGCACATTAACCATGTTCACCAATGAAGATGGCAAGGTTGTTTCTAGTGCAGCTCCCCATTTCTAATACTTCGTAGTATGAAACCTCCTCCTTGTAAGATGAAATGTCTCAGCCTAGTGAAAAGCTACAGACTTCTTTCCCTCTCCTTCTTATCCTGATACAACCAGTAGCAACTCCTTTTGAATATAGCTGAGGCAGATGCAACTGGAATGCTAAAAGCTGGTAGAAGAAGTCTAGTCAAGGAGAAGTGTTGTAAAAGACTTCCAAACACATTGATTAAAATGATCCAAGTTACAGCTTTTGGGGTGGGAGCAGGCCAGGATTGAGGACTGGGAAAGCAGGAAGCCAGATGGTGATCASGCAGGAAAAACCTATGTGGACCTCAGTTGTCTGACTTACATTGCCATGACTGAAGATTAAGGATCAAACCTGCATGAAGTGTTTAAGTTACTAACACAGTATTAGGCATCCCAGAACAGTGTTTGCAACAGCCAGCTTGACTGCTGCCTGCATAAGCAAAGAGATATCAAAAAAACAGGAGCCTCTAAAACTGTAA